ATTCCTGGTTATTTACTCAAGAAAAATGAAACCTTAGATCATACAAAAACCTGGTTTTAGTGGCTTTTTTCTTTTCTTTTTTACTAAAAATTCAAAATTACCCAAAAGTTCTTCAGGTGGTAAATGGATAATCATACCAAAATACATCCATAAAATGGACTATTACTCAGCAATAGGAAGGAATATATCACTGATACCCACAAAACTCAGGTGAACCTCAAACACATTGAGGTCAGTCAGAGAGGCCAGACTCAAAAGGCTACATACTGTATGGTTCCATTTATATGGCATTCTGGAAAAGGCAACTTAGAGAAACAGAAAAAGATCAGTGGTTTCTAATGGTTGGAGGTGGGTAGGAGAGGTTGATCATTAAGGAGTAGTAAGAGGGAAGATCTGGGGCGATGTAAATGTTCTGTATCTTGATTGTGGTAGTGGGTATATGACTATTTCCATTTGTCAAAAATTCTAGAAGTGTACACCAAAAGCTATGAAATTTACCATATGTAAATGTTTAAACAGAGGATACTAAACAAAAAAGATATTGGAAGATATGGCAAGTGGTCAATAAATATGACTAGCATTATTAATTTTGACAATATTTGCTATTATTAACATGGCTAGACAAGAGGAAGATGGCCTAAGAGAGGTACAATTGGAATGCTTTGATAACCAATGTGAATTCAATCCAGAGGAATGCAGAGGCATGAGAGGAAGCAAGAAGAAATTTGTTCCATAAAGGAGTAAGAAAAATAAACTAAGAAAGAAATATTGATTTATAGGGGCCAAGAGTCCAAATTACCAAGACTTAGTTGATAAACTCAAGTTTGATCTGAATGGGCATCAACAAATAGAGGCTTCCTTGAATTTCGTGTGAGGGATGGGGAAGTAATAAAACAGGCTTCTACTATCAGGAAGAGTGGAAGGGCCATTCTCAGCAACACGTGTGTATCCAAGCAGTAAATCAGGGGAGGATACCCAAAGTAAAGTAAGGCCACAGGGAAAGGGATGCGGGCAGGTGTCCTGGAAATCAGGGCACCTAGACCACTGGGTGCAGAGCCAGGCTCTTGACTCCGAGGGACACAGTAGCCAAAACTAAGCATCCATTCAGAAAGCCAACTGGACTCAGACAACTGATGTGACTGCAGCCTGGTGCTCATGGCCCAAATGCATCCCACCAGTAACCCAGACACCAGTGTGGAAGGAAGCAGCAAACTTTGCCAGAGGTCCACTTCCTCAGTGAGGTTTTGGGAAAGAGTAACAGAACAAAGTAGAGGATGGAAGGAAAGAACCACTAACATAATATGAAGCGGGGCTTTCACTGGCTCTGTGTCAGCGTCACTTTCTACAGATGAGGAGCAAAGGATAGTGCCTGAAAACAAAAAAACAAAAGAATCAAAGGGGTAAGAAGATAATCTCAGGAGATCCCTGGGACTGCTTCATGGAGGAGATGACATTTGATCTGACTTTAAGAGATTTGTACATCAAAGATTGGGAGAGATAAAAGGAAGGGAAAGGAAAAGAGGGAGAAAACAAGGAAGACTGAAAGATAACGGGGAAGAAACTATTGAAAATGAAGGTAATGTAAGCAAAGACAAAAAGCCACATGTAGAATATGCATAAGTAACAGGAAATTGGCTAATCTGATGGGAGCAGAGTGCACGGAGAAGCAGCAGGAAGTGAAATCATTCACAGGGAGGCATAAGCTCTTGCTTAGGATGTTAGATAACGGTGTTTGTAAACCGGGGAATAGGACAATCTGGGTTATTTACTTCCTGGTACTGTTAGTTCACAGCTTCACTCAATTAAACAAATATTAATTGAGCAACTATCCTGCCTAACGGCCTGCAACGTGCTGTGAGTAATTCAGAAATAATATGTCCCTATGCCTTTAAGTGGAGTTTACAATCTGGGAAGCAGAATCCAAAATATCTACAAGAAAAAAAAAATATTTGAGTAAAAGGATTAATGAATCTGCCCTTGAGTCTTTGCCTACAGGGTACAAAATCAATAAGCACTTTCTGAATGTTTACTATTTGCAATATTCTGTGCTAGATATTATGACCTATATTCTCAAAGTAGCCTTGTTTTCTTTTTACTTCCTTCTCTTCTTCCCTTCCTTTCTAGAACTTAATATATCTAGATCTGCTACTACGTACCAGTCAGTGTGTAAGCCAAGAGACAAATAAGAAAGAAACCACGCTGCAAAATGAGATTTAAAAATTCCGTTTTAGAGATGCTATCCATCTCTGAGACGGAGAATAGTCAGAAAATTTGTCCAGGGTCAGACAGGGAACAAGTTAAGGAGCCGTAATTTAGCTCAGGCCTCAAAACTTTAAAACCATTGTTTTTGGGGCCCGCCTGGTGGCGTAGCAGTTAAGTGAGCATACTCCGCTTGGGCGGCCCAGGGTTCGTGGGTTCGGATCCTCGGCACACAGCAACGCACCACTTATCAAGCCATGCTGTGGGCGGCGTCCCATATAAAGTAGAGGAAGGTGGGCACAGATATTAGCCCTGGGACCATCCTCCTCAGCAAAAAGAGGAGGATTGGCATCAGATGTTAGCTCAGGGCTAATCTTCCTCATACACACAAAAAATAAATAAATAAAAACATCGTTTTACACTGAGCAAAATATAGCCTCAGAAAATTACAATTATAGAGATTAAAAGACTCATCATTTGGTTGAGAAAATTTCTCCTGAAAGAGGGAACACTAACGTTCAATTTCGTGCTAGATAACATGTTCCCCAGAGTCCACCTCATTTTGAGATAGGTGATTATTCAAGCTGGCTGGAATATTACCATTTCTATTTTTCTCTTTACTTTTATGTTTCGATGTTGATCTTTTTTCTTTCTTTCCTTTTTTTCTTTTAGCCATTTTCAATTAAGATTTCTAATTAGATTCCAAATTTGAGACACGTCTCTAGTAGAAAGCAAATGGTGCGAGTAGTAATTAAGGGACAGCTGTGTCTTGTCTTTCTGGGGATGAAAGCCCTTTCTGAGGCTTTTTGTTTCTAAGTTATGAAATCCTACGGAATTTGTCATGACTTTTTTCTTATTTTTTAAATTTTTTTGTCTTTCTCATTTTTTTTATTTTTTCTTATTTTTTAATAATAAATAATTGATCTAAAGAAGTCAATGCCCTTTCCAATACAGATGCTAACAACCTCTCTTCTGGAATAAGTGTAGGCTAACGCTAATCCTCTGGTCTTGGAAACTTTTATTGCTGCAAATACAAAATCACATTTTATAAAAAAATCAAATCATTCTTTAGGTGCTAAAGTAGGCACTACCCTGTCATTTTCCTCACTTTATGACTTTTTTAAATTATGAGATTTTTACAAATCAAGGAGAATAAGCATTTTCAGTGGAAAGGAGTGTGATTCAGAGCACATGAGGTGTGAAGAGTGTTTTTTTGTGGTTTTCCTTTGTCTGTTTGATTTAAGAGAACAAATATTACTAATACGGATATTGAAAATTATTTAGTAAGCTCATACTCCAGTACTCCTTACTGGTACTTAAGGCTATATTTTCACATGCAAAGTATAATCAGAATTTGAAGCAATTAACCATATAATTCAGGTCAAGAAAAATCTTCTGCCTGAAAAAGCTAAACCATTGAAGCAGACAGATTTTTTTTTTCTGGCTTGAATTATCTAGATTCTAGAAAATTATCTAATATAATTTAATGTGCACAGCCACAAAATAGGTTAAATTACCTAAAAGCAGGCCGGCCACAGGAGCATAAAGAACCTCTTAAAATGTATATTTCTAAGAGAGAAACTTTGGAAACACTTCCTGATGTAAACCTGGAAATAGTTTGGGAAATATCAAGTTGTGGAAAGGTACACACACACATACATATATATACACATATGTACATACACATATATGCATCTAGACATATATTTGTTTGTTTACTGTAGAACTTCTCAGAACCTATAATATGGTAATGTGCACTTAAAGCTCCTTAGAGTGTTAGAGTAATCAGAAATTTTCAAACTTTCTTGACCCAAACCATTTCATGCAGAAAATATCCTGGAACTAGTGTTCAGAGGAATGAACACATTGAGAACCTCTTTGCACAGTCATATGATGTTCACATTGTGCTTTGGCAGGAGGTATAAGAGGGTGAGGTTGGGTGGTAGAGTTGAAAGCATCTATATTCAGAGGACCAGGCAAGAAGACCAAATGACATTGCATAGAAATGTCAAGGGCATAAAGTGGCCAAGCAGAGCTGGTCCAAAGGCACCTTACCATGGCCAGTAAGGCCCTATGGGACTGGGCCAGCTCCCATATTCATTTTCAACCCAACTTCACCTTATGTCTCTCTCTACCTCTGTGATGACTTAGCTACAGCCACTTTATCCTTCTTTCAGTCATTTTATTGATTCACTGCTGTTCCATCTGCCTGGGACTCATGTCTTCATACTTCAGCTCTTAGTTTAAGTATCATCTTCCAGAGAAATACCCTTTATTTACCCAATCCACAGTAGATTCCTCTCTTGTCTCCCAATATTTTCTCCCACAGAACTCTGCTCTTTCTCGTCATAGTATTTATCATAGTTTTTATTCATATATTGATATTTGCTTATTTCATGTTGCTTCCACTAGACTGTGAGCATCGTGAGGAGGGGGAATGGACCATGCCTGTTTTGTTCAATTTTCTAAAATCACCAAATACCTCATAGATGAGTGTTTGCCATATAATAGGCCTTTGATGAATATATGTTGATCTAATAATAAATAATAAAAATAATTAGTTAATCCTCTCACATTTCTGCCTAGGCTTGGCCTAACAGAAATCCTCAAAATTGATTTAATTACACATAGAAATCAATTCTTCTTTAGCATATGGTCAGCCATCTATAACACGCAGTCACACATATTCTAAGACACCAAACTCGCAATTTTGTAAAATATTTTTTTTTAATAATAGGGGCTATAAGTTTGAATTAATAATCATTCTAAAGGAATATTATGTGTTGATTACTGAGACTCACTCTTGTATCTGCTTTATTGTTGCATTCCTCAAACAGCTCTGCTTTTTGATTATTGCTTTGCTGATTTCAGAGCTCTGTAAAGAACAAAAGGACAAAGTGTTAGGATTTGGTGTTTCACTGGGAACTTCTCTAGCTAAAATATTTAAGACACTCATAATGCCCATCACTCCAAACTTGAGGACTTATTGTCATCACAGGATCCATGGAACATAGCTATTTCTTGTTTGTATTCCAAATTAATCTGTTTCATTCAGTTTACAGAGCTCCACCAGACAGAACTATAGCTGACCCTTATTTATTTGCTCACATGAGCCAGGCACTATTATAAGTTACATGGATTAACTCACTTATTCCTCATAACCACTGGGCAGGCAAGAGTTAACTCAGCAGGCCTGAGTTACCGGAACCTGCACATTCCAAAGAAAGGCCTGTCTTCAAGACTGGCCTTCGGTCAGCTCCTGGAAGATAAACTTTGAGCTCTTAGAATAGTCTGCTGATAAGAATTTTTGTCTGCCTGAGGCCTTGGCCTGTGCTGTTCCAGTTTGACCAGATATGTTTATGTTGAACACCTGTTTTTGCGTGGGGGAAGGGGAGGCTGAAGTCTGAATAGCTGAGGTCAATCAGCTGATGCTGCAGGCTTATGTGACCGACCCCTAATAAAACTACGACTGACCCCCAATAAAACTCTAGAGACCAAAGTTCGGCTGAGCTTCCCTGGCTGACCACACGTCACATGTGTTGTCACACATTGTTGCTAGTAGAATTAGGCACATCCTCATGTGACTTCACTGGGAACAGACACCTGGAAGTAGGAGGCTGTACCTTGCCTCATGTGCCTTACCCTTTGCTGATTTTAATCCGTATCCTTTCACTGTAATAAACCGTGGCTCTGAGTATAACAGCTTTTCTGAATCTCTAGCAAATCACCAGGCCTGAGGGTGGCCTTGCGAACCCCCACACAACCACCCTATGAGCTAGGTACTATTATTATCCACATTGTATAGACAGAGAAACTGGCAAAGAAAGGGGAGGTAACTCAGAGTCCCATGGCTAGTTTAAGTGTCAGTATTTTAATTTGAACCCAATGACCCAGTTCCAGAGTTTTGGCATTGTACCACTATGTCATGTTGTTTGTCAAAATATTTGTTATTACATGTCATTCAATACCTGTATCAAAAATGCTATCTTGTTCTTTTTCCCATTTTATTGTCAGAAATCATAGTTTTCAAATTGTAAATTTACTATCAATTACCAAGATTTCATTTTATCTGTTAAAAAGAGAAACATAACTCTTATTGAGTCAAAGTTGTTCTTTAGCCACGTATTTTATTTAAAACAACCTTTCTTCCAGTCTGGTCAATAATAAAGATGTAAACCTAGATTTTTCTCACTCACATTCTCATATATATTTTCCCATTCTACATGGTTTATAATGTAGGAGGATGAAAACTATAAAGAGTCAGCTTTAAATCACACCACATCTTATTTAATTTGGGGGAAACAAATTATCACAATTTTTCTTAAGATTTCTAATATTTTTAATCTGATAGATCCAGAGTTGCTTTTACAATAAATGTTAGAAAAAAATAGTTCACAAGAGAAAACATGAAACTAATCACTCAGCTGCTACTAAAGAAAATACAAACCATCTATTGATTTCTAAACATGAAAAAGAAAAATAATATACCAGTTACATAGAAAAGTCGTAAGTTTGCTATATCAAGCTCTTATTCAGGTAGACTTTTCAAAAAACACTGTTCTAATTAGTAATTGTCATTAGGTGTCTGAGATAGTAGCTTTAGTCTAACACTTGAACAAAACTGTAATTCATTCTCCTATCTTTTTTCAATCCACCCAAACCTAAGCATTGCACTCTGCTGTACATACAGTGGATGACAGTGTCTTGTCCTTATCACCAAAACAGATGGCATATCTCTCAATATTTTGAGTTGTCATTACATCCAGGAAGGTAATGAGTCGACCTTGCAATGTGGACGTACAGAAGTCAATGTAGTCTCATATGGTTCATAGCGTCCAAGCAAGCCCTTGAAATAACCTTCAAAAACACAAGTTCACAGAGGAAGGGCAACACCTCACACAGCAGTGATGAAATACATCGAATGCAAACTGGATAACTGTGCAACTCCAAAGAACAAAAGTTTATGATGCAGAAGGATCAACTGTGTTATGTTAGCCTCAGTATTTCAGACTTATTTTGATCCCATTATGATGTTATCATTTGTCAGCTCACATCATGTACCAAGAACCCAAATCCACTGAAGTGTAGGTCACCTTAAATAAACATCCCACAGAATTAATGTGAACGAAAAGCCTTATGTAACACTTATCATTACCTTTACAATAAATGATGAAATAGAATATTTTTCTTAATTAGGATATAAAAGTTTTCTTTAAGCAGAAATACGAAATTCTGTTTTAAACAACTTCTGGATGTTATACTGAATTAAACATTATTACTTAGGATTAAAATATGGAATAGTAAAACAAAAATGAGAGTATCCTCTCTTGGGCTCCACCTTATGCTACAGAAGTTGGTGCCTTCTGTGGTCCCTATAGCTATGCCCTCTATGGTCCTGAATGGGGCTTTCATCACTCACATTCTGTCTCTCATTCTACCCCAGAGTCCTTGTGTGATGGGGATATAGCTGAAGTCAAATCTGGCTATTTGCCTTTTCCATGTTGCCCCATGAAAGAAAGCTGGGCTTGAAATGTTTTGCTGTTGACCCCAGACACCCTGGATGATTCCAAGCCAAGAGCCCTCATCAGTGAGAGGTTTTGGGATACTATGCTAAAGGCAGGAGCTGAGTGGGGTGGAGTTTAGAAAAGATCAGGGAGAGAACATGCCATGTATGTAAGGAAATTGTGCGGTACAGAGGTCCTCATGGATTCTGAAAAACTCACACTTGCATTTGCCCCCTAAAAGATCCAACAATTAAAAGCCTGCTTCACAGATATACATGTAGTTACCAGAACCTATTACAATTAACTGTCTCTAAAATAGATGTAAAAATTTAATTCTATCTCCAAAAGCCGGTTCCTACAATATTACTTTTGTTCCCCAATTCCCATCCCTTATTGTAAAGGCAAAGTGGAATTTAGCTGACAATGAGATTATTCTCAAAATGATCTTCACATCAACTAAAAAACTACAAAAAACTTCTATTAGAATTAATAATTCAAAAAAAGTCTCAGGATGCAAGGTAAATTTGTAACAATAATTTTTCTATATAATAGCAATAAACAGAAAGTAAAATTTTCAAAATAAATGAATATAACTCCCAGTAGCATTAATAATAACCTGAATCACGACAGCAGTAACAACAAAATCAATAAACTACTTATGAATAACTCTGTAAAGAAAATTATGAAAAGCTATAAAGAGAAATAAGAAACTATAACATATGCGTGAGTGGGAAAGTATTTACAACATAAATATCCCTTCTTTCCAAATTAATTTATATTTTTAGCAGAATTCCAATCAAAATCCTAATGAGAGTAATTTTAGAGCCTGTTAAAATTTTCTAAAATTCATTTGAAGAAAGAGTTGTGGATCATAAAGAAAATCTGAAATGTGAATACTAGAAAGAAGTTTTGCTCTATCTAGTGATAAAATATATTGTTGTGACACAGCATTAAACACAGTGCAGAACTGCCTTAGAAACTGATATAAATATTAGTGGGAAAATATAGATAACCCAGAAACATCCCATTTTATGCATTCACTCAACAAATATTTAATGCCTATCATACACCAAACACAATGCTAGTTATTAAAGGGACAGTACAATTTCTGCCCTCAGAAAGTTTGATGGGAAAGAAAATAATAGCTATTTTCATTACAATAGATATTGATACAAACGGGCATAGGAATCCATGGATACATACAGAAAGGGAACCCAAATTCAGAGTATAATAAAATGAGCACCACGAATTAATGAGAAAGAAAGGAATTGTTTAATAAATGTTGAGATAATTGCCTAGCTTTTTAGAATAAAATCAAATATGTTCCATTAGACATAGATATAAATTCCAGATGTATTATGGAATTAAATACAAATAAAATGCGACATAAAAAATAAAGAAAAATGAAATTGGTTATTTATACACCTTTTGAGAGATATAGTCTACTTCTGAAACTTATAAACACAAAAAGAAATTAGAAAGGAAATGCCTGATAGATTGGACTGTGTAAAAAAAAATTCCCTAAGTTAAAAGAAAATTTAAAAAGTAAAGCAAATACCAAATTATTTGCAACAAATGCAAAACACCAAAATCTATTTTGTATAAATATTCAATACCAAAATATCAAAGGATACTTCATAATGAAGAAACTCATTAATAAATATATGGAAAAAATGTTCAACCTCATTAAGTATTCAAGGAAATAGCCCTTAAAACAATGACTGACAATATTTCATCTCACAAATTGGCAAAGAAGAAATTTTCATGCTTGATGTCATTTTGAAATTGCTTTGAATGCCACTTTCCTACAACCCCTAAGATCTCTAAAAGTATTCCTACCCTGTCCCAGAAGATCTAGGAAGTATTCTCACCGTATATAATTTGCACAAGATGCTCATTTCTGGCAAACCCTATGTTAACTCCCACTAAATCATAATACCCTTTAGGTAAGTGACTGTCAAGTATTCATCATGGTATTACAGGTACCATACCCAGCACATAGGAGGCATGAAATAAATGTGTTGAATGTTGGATAGATGAAATAATGAGCTTGTTTCTTCATCATTAAAGTAAACAAAAGATTAGCAGACATTTGTTCCTGTCCAAAATGTCCATAAGACATTTGGGTCATAAGACATTTGGTCTATAAGACATTTGGTCCGTAAGATATTTGGTCTACACCCAAAGGTCCTTGACATTTGGTCTGTCCAAAAATTCCATTAGACATTTGGTCCATGCCAAAAGGTCCTTGATATTTGGTCCTGTCCAAAACCATTTGGCATGGACCAAATATGCTCATGGACATTTTGCACAGGACCAAATGTCTTGCAAAAGTGTGATGCTGGCTTCTCAAAAAATACGTTTCAT